CCCCCCAGCACCCTCATACCCTCCCGCAAACCCCCCTACACTCCCCCTATACCCCCCACCGCATATACCCTCCATACCCCCCTTTATCCCCAAAAGTTTCTCAGTGGATTTGGGCTGTACTCAGCAAGCGCAGTACAGCCCCCAAACTCAGAAAAAAATCCGTGGGTGGCCCTCTAGAGAATGGTTGGCAGACCGCCAACCGGTCGGCCCTACTGGTAGGCTGCAAAACGGTCCACGGTCGGCGTCATGCATTTTCCTTTTCTTTTGAACAATTTGAGAAGTTAAGAAGTATACATGAGAAAACTGAGATCTTGGCTGCCAGTATTGACTACCCCAGTAGAGCCGGGGGGTTAACTGCACAGCTGCAGGCCTCATCAATAATGAAGGGGGCCTGCCATGACCGTCCAATGCACTTCTTGTAGCCGACAGAGGGGATGGAACCGGCCTCGTGGAGGGGCGCCGTGAGGCAGGGCCATTCACGTCGAGCCATTGGATCCGAAAAAGAAGTAGGGGGTATTTGGGTCTCAGCTTGCATGGGAAGCAAATGCCAAGACTCACTCAGGATACTCAGGTTTCAATGTCCGCACCATCCTCAGGCTTGAATTACAAGGGACCACAGCGCAGCAATCCAAACACCCACCAGCCAGGGACCAAGACACATTTCAAGCTCAGGCAATCAGGTATTATATCTTCACTGCGCAGGGGCATTGCTGTCACCGTCACTCAATCTCGTATCTCAGTGAGGGCAAGCGGGTGTTGGGGGAACAGGTCGGGAAAGTCTGTTGGTGGGCGAAGGGGGAAAGTTGGCTCTATCTTTGTCCAGTCGTTAAAAAGCAAACGATACTCCCTAGATTTCACCCTCTCTTGTTATATCCCTCCCCTTCTAATCCCACTCCACTCTACTCTGGCGAACCACCTTCTTCCCCCGAATACAACATACGGTAATTATAGCTGTATTTGAGGCATCTTTCAGTCTAAATACAGCTATAATGACCGTACGTTGTATTCGGGGGAAGACTGCAGCCGCCCCTAAATCCCCCCAACCAGTCTGTGCAGAAAGCTGTGATAACTCTCTCAATATCTCAGTTTGTTCGAAAGAGGTCGAGTTGAGACTTCACGTCTTGCCATCTCCATTGTATTTCCATCTGAATTTGCTGTTGGCTCTGCTCTGTTACCTCTGGTTCCTCGGTCCTTACCCCCTCCAAGGCCCATCAGGCAGCGGCCACCGAAGCTCCCAAAGAGCTGCCCTGCAGCCCATCCAACCATTTCTCATGGTAATAAATCATTTGTTACAAAACTTGAATTCTCAATTCCCAGCCAGTTGTCCTCCCCACACTGCCTGCAGCTGTATCGGGCGAATCACATATCCATGATAGTCCACGACACGCTATTTGTTTTTTTCTGCGGTTGGTTCCGTTCCTGAATCACTCCATCTGTCCTCCTTGAACTCCCTATGTATTTCATGGCAAGCTATGCTTTTTTCTCTGCCCTTGGTACCCTTCCTGAGTTACTCCAACCCTCTTAGTGGACACTTCTGAAAATAAAATGTTGGTGAGTGGGTGTTTCCACGGCCCACCAGTTGACTGCAACCCGAGAAGCATTCTTTTGTTTTGTTTTGTTTTGTTTTGTTTTGTTTTGTCTTGTTTTGTTTTGTTTTGTTTCGTTTTGTTTTGTTTTGTTTTGTTTTGTTTTTGTAAAAAGAAAAACAGGTCCTTCTGGGCCCAGCTCCATCCAAGTCCAGGGTGTTGTAGAGGCCAGTCAGTGTGTGCACAGTGATCACCTGGAACTGTGAGGAACTGTGAGCGGTGGGTGTCGTGGAATATGAGACCACCTCCCAACCCATCCTCACGTCAATACTCCTAGCGCACCCCCTATCCCACTATTCTACCTCAGTGTGCCCAGCACTCAGGACCATTGCCCTACCAACGGGCAGGCAACTTTGGACCGAACAGCAGTGATAGACATCAGGGCTGATAGATTGCCCAGCCCTGGTGGAAGCGGAATCGGACGAACCTTGTCGAACGGGAACTTCGGACGCCAGGCCCAGACAATGAAGTACAGGCCCCATATATATATAGCAACCAGAAGAATGTCAGTAGGAACTGCACCCAATGGCACCCTATCCAACCTACCTGAACCTACTGCAGGCACCAGACCCCACCAGTGACTAGCTCCCCAGCCTGTATATATTCTGTGAATCTGTGTAGGCAGTATCATGTGTGGATACTTGTGTATGTAACCTGTAAGCGATATATAATTCGCGAGCTATGTGTGTATGCCCGAAAGCTATGCGTACTCTGTGAATCACGTATCGAGGAGAGAACGGGGCCAGCTGGACAAGGACCCCCCCCCCAAGGACCGAACCAAGCTTGAACCGGTGACCTTGTAACATGTAATCCAAGACTCTACCGTATGAGGAACTACCGGAAATGGAATGATCGTGTGATATGCCAGACTGGGGAGAACATCAGAACACCCGAGAACAACGCCCAAAGCAAACCCTGCGAAACCCACAATCAACATACAACACCATGGACTACCCTTGGGTGGTGCGCAGGCAGTGTCTGTAATAGTACCATGCGTCTGCACAAGGGGATGTGTGTCCAGCCGTGTGTCAATCTAACGCCCTGCCGGTGTCCATGCGCAACACTGCGGGGTTTTGAACCCGCAACCTTATACCACAATGCGCATTTCCAACCGGTGCTCTAACCACTGAGCTACATCAACTGGACATCTAGGGAGCATAGTTTGGTTTCCTATTCCACTGCGACAGTGGCGAGTCAAGAAAGACATAATATACTCATGCACGATGCTTCCCCGCACTATGGCCCAGGAACCCCTCACATCATAGAAGCTTGGCCATGGTCCATTTGTGTCAATTGGTCAATCCATATTATGCAGTCGAAAAACTGCATGGCGCAAAGTCAGCCAAAAAGCAATTATAAAAGATATTGGGGCAAAGGAAGACCAGTTTTGCCTGCTAACGGAGGAGCTGCCATCTGGCGAAAAAAAAAGTTTCTGAAAACACATCATTTGGAGTGGTTGCTGATAATTGATTGACTAGAATCAGAAAAAGGTTGCTTTATTGTGAAAGGCAGTCATAAAGCCTTCTGGGCCTAGCTCAGTTGGTACACGAATGAGCTGTTGAAACACAGACCTAGTGATCAATGAAATTCTTGAATTACCAAGTGCCGGTCAGTTCCATGATGATATCTCAAGGTCATCGCCCTTCTTAAAGAGAACGAGAAAGTAGGAAACAAGAAAGAAAGAAAGAGAGAGAGAGAGAGAGAGAGAGAGAGAGAGAGAGAGAGAGAGAGAGAGAGAGAGAGAGAGAGAGAGAGAGAGAGAGAGAGGGAAAATAAAGGGGAGGGGGAGTAAAAAAAAGAACAAGATGCTCTGCCAACTCTTGAGAATGAGAAGGTTCTCTATTTGCCCTTGGATCTCCCTCTTCTCGGCAGATACCAGCAGACCCCAAACTCTCGTCCATCCCATATGTCTTCTTCCCCCGAACAGAATGTACGGTCATTATTGTTGTATTTAGGGCAAATTTCAGTTTAGGTACAGCATCAATGACCGTATGTCATATTTGGGAAAAGACAGTAGTTCTCACAATCGGCCAGCATTTGTACATAAATGACAATGAAGCTGTGGGAGTAGGAAAAAAAAAGAGAGTGTGGCAGGTGGGTTGATGATGGGAAAGGAGGAGTGGAGAAAAAAACCCACCCTCCGCAGAATGTCGAGACGCTTGGCCTCTTCTTCCACTTTGCATAGCTGATTCAACACCTTTTCTCGGACCTGCTCCTTCTTCTTCTCAATTGCTGCTTCCCTGGCATGAACCGACTCGACAGCGACCCTGGACTGCTCTTCTCTCTGAGCTTGAAGGGCGAGTACGCCAACCCCATTAAGTGGAAGGGCCTCCTGCGACAAGGTTATTACTTTGCTAGTCTGGCGCTCCCACGCATGCCTCTCCATCTCAACAGCCCGTTGCCTTGCCTGAGAATTGGCTGCCTCACGTTTAAGCGTCTCTCTCAGACTGTCCTCTAATCCCTTCAGAGATTCCGATTTACCTTCTTCCGCTGCCATCATGGTTCTCCCCGTCCTTTCGTCAACAACGAAGGGCAGCTTCTGAACCTATTCCACACAGCCTGTGGCTCTTCCTCGAGCGGTAGTCGAGTGAGATGTGTTGCGAATGATGGTCCGAACCAGACACACATTAAACCTCCTACAAGAAAATCCTTTGCCTGCCGGCAGCCTTGACGTTCTGATCGGACGATAAGGTGTTGATCCTCTCTCTCATCGGCAGTCCTTGTCGCGTGCCTAACGCTCCAATCTGGCACTCAGGTGAGAGACATCCCCTCTAAGCAAGCACACTGTCCACAATGTTCTCCTCGGCTACCTGTCAACCGTAGATTGTCTCCGACAGCGACCATCTCCCTGGTCCACTCCCGGACGCACTCCACCAGGCTTGTAGACACATTTATCCTTCTCCAGAACTCTGCACAACAACAGTGACAAAATTCATGTCTACCTACAAATAACTGGCTTATAGATAGGACAACATTGGAACAAAGGGGAATAGCGCTTCCCTGGTGTAAATTTTGTAGGACGGCATTTCCATCTAAATCAATTCCTGAGACAATTGAGCATGTCTTACTTCAATGTCCGGGGCCCATTTGGCTTTGGAGATGGTGGGACGGTATATGGTCTAATTTAGAAACACAAATCCAGTGGCCATGGGATTGGAAAGCCCTTCTTCTTGAAGACTGGTCCCCGGAGTCTATTGACGAATTCTCACAAAATTTGTTCAGCATGGGTAGAAGAGCGGTATTATGGGCCATATGGTTAAGAAGATGTACGTACGAAATGGAGGGAGTTTGGCTAGAAGGTACAGAATTCAATGACACAGTTAAACAACAAATACAAACAGATATCATTATGAAATGGGAACAGTGCAAGGAAAAGGTACAATTCTTATCTTCACAAAAAGAAATACTTCAAAACATCCAAAGATTCAACCAATGCTGGCTAGGAGGAACCCATGGGGGAAAGATAGGGAAGATCAAATGGGAAGGGGCAAAGAGGGGTGAAGAAGAAGAACTGAGACGGGATTATTGTCTTGCTTTTAATGATTGGACTACGATAGACCCAACGATCCCCTTACGACCAGCATCGGAGTTTCCAGACCCCTTTCCCCCCTCAGCGCTAAGCTTGGTCTCAAGGACTTGGTATGGGTATGAATGAACCTGTGACCAAGATAGTTCCAGCAAATCAGGATGGACAGAAAAAGTGAGAAAAGTGCTAGGACCATGATGAGGCGATCTGGCGCCCCTAGGGGGTGAAGAGGCACACTTTCATGAATTTTCATGAATTTTCATGAATTTTCTGATGAAGTTTTCTGAACATATTCGTTATGGGACGCTGGGCCCGGTTCCCAGCTGGTGTCAATTTTATGAGGATATGGTTGCATCTAAGGGACGCTGGACCCAGTTTCCAGCAGGTGATGCTCCCCACCAATAGATGGAGCTTGTGTTGGTTTAAAAAAAAAAAAAAAAAAAAAGGCACGCACCACCGAGCTGCCCCCCCCCCAGCCCCCCCTGTATAACATCTAGGGCTACAGGGGTGGGAGGCTGAGCTGATCCCTGAATCTTTTCTTTGAACTGTGTTCTATGCTTGCCTGTGATAAGCAACAGGACTGCTGGCCCCCAGAATAGATGGGGCATTGTTTGTCTGTTAAAAAAAAACTCTTTTTGGAAATTTTAAAAAATGCCCCTGAAATTCCCGCTTATTTGCGATTTGCCCCTCCAACGGCCGACTTACCCTGATTTGCCCCTGAGGCCGCTGAACTTTTGTGCAGGCCCCTGTCAGTGAGGGGCACAAATTTCCAGAATGCCCCTACTGAACCGCCAGTCTCATTTCCCCTAGTGCCTGTCCGATTTGCCCTCCTGCCAGGGATGCATCTTTCTGAGATGCGCTTCAGCACGGAGGCACGCAGAATTCAAATTCAAACTCTGTAGTTTTCCAAGCCGCCGAGAAAATAAGAGGGCTGCACTCCACGTCGTGCTCACTGCTGCAATCCACCACGTTGGAGTTCATTCATCGTCTGCTGCGACCCTCCGCCTTGGACGTCCTTGGAGTTCGTTCGCGAAGGTCAGTGTTCCTCCCCTTCTTCC